AGTAGTAAACAAAATAACTGAACTGTCTCCAAGAAAATAATGAAATTAAGTGGAATAAAACTCGGCTCCCACTGATTTTGCATATATAAAATGAATGGCATAACCAAAATCAAATCAAATTTCCCATTAATACTTTTGGGAATAACCTCATACAGTAAATCAATCAACCAATGCAATTTCCTTTCATTTACCTTCTACCTTACAAGCTTGAAACAAAAACCTTAATGCTTATTAGTAGTAATCATGAATTCAATGAAAGGTAAAAGTCATTGATTAACCACTGTTAACTGAAAATATGAATTAACAATAACAATTAACACATCCAAACAATCTTTGTTCGTATTAGCCTTAAAACCCTTAATGAAGAACTGGAACATTAAGTGATTAATCATAAACAGTCAAAACTAAATGTATGCAACAAAGAAGATCATTGAATGCTCCCACTCATCAAACATTGTGCACCAAAAATGTATCAAGAAATGAGCATAGAACAAATCATATTATTTTCACTGAAATTGTTTCCTCATGATTAGGCCTCAACTTTAATTCTTTCAATTTATTTCTCAAAATAATACTTTACTAACACATATCTTGAAAAACATATAACATGTCATGCATATTGGACTTAGTTTGAGAAATAACCAAACTGTAATGAATGCAATAAACTTTATTCACTTTGTACTTTAAAAATCAATTAAATTTTCTTTAACCAATGCATAATAAAAAAACGTAAGCAAGGTAAGAACTTTAATAGCCAAAAACGAAACACCCGGGTATCCAAAAATTGGTAATAAAAATATATAGATGCATAAAACCAACACTTCAGATGTAAAACTTCAATGTGTCAACAACCAGAAAACAGTTCCAAGTATGTTCCAAAACCTTTATGAGCTTTATCAAAATACAAGATATAAGGTCTAGAGTGTGTGAAGCCCAAAACTTTACATCACTTCTCCCACTTGGGCAAACACTCACTACTTTGCTACTTCAATATGTAGTGCAACAATAACCTTATGATTAGAAATAATGTGACAAAATGGTGTAAAAGAACTTTCAAGGCGTGCTCCTAATGTACTTCACAGTATAAACCTAAATGCACAAACTGTCAAGAAATTTCCAGCAATGACATGTGATTACTTGAGAATTTACCACAATTAATTTATAAGTCGGATTAGCATCAAATTTCATGGAAACAAACTAGAGACATTAATCTTCATACCTAAAAATTATACAGTCATTTATAGCTAATTAAAAGGTCTAAAATAGATCTACAAAATTATTTAGAAAATCTGTCAGCACATACTTTTCCTGAACACAGATCACTAATAAAATTCTCACAAATAAACTATACAGCCAATAATCACGAAACTTTGCAGAATTCATGAAGACACGTATATGCTTAACATATCAAAAAATCAGGTTATTTGAAGATCTTTAGGTGAGTCATATTCAACAATCTTTATACATAGTGCAGAAACTGTCAGGAAAATTCCTGTGCATCTGTTTCAACTTTATAAATTCACCAAAAATTCAATTCTCAACATATTTTCATGAACTCAGCGCCTACAGAAACCTTAGAAAATCATCCTTCTCGCCTAATTTTGTCATTAGTTAATTGGAATTATAACTTCACCCTAACAGACGACATGTTAGCGTAGTTCAAAACTGAACAATTGTCAACTATAAATTTATGAATGCTAACAATATACACCTCAAAATTTAGTTATCCTTATGCATTCTAAAACATTCAACATTGAGATCCATGTAGGTGCAAAACAATTAATACCATATCACAAAGGTAAAATATAAAATATCACTTTATCAAGTTTAAACACTTTGAGCAATCAAAAGATCATTCGTATCTTGAGTATCTTATATATTGCAATGTGCCACTTTTGAGTCAAAACAAAATTAGTGAGCCTTAATTACGAGTGCAACTTGATCCATGCAACTCATTCAATTAAGAAATAACAGTATTAATACAATATCCTTAAACATGATCTAAGCTTCATATTGCATGACCTTACAAAACAACCAATTTATTTTATGATGAACATAACCTTATGGATTAATCCCCAACTTTACATGATTCAATCCATCAAATACGAATTAATACTTTTAGACATGTGGATCACTCCAACTATACATGGTTTAATCCAAATCACCTACGGATAAATCCTTTTACATGTGAGTTGTATTGATGCTACAAAACATTCACTTAAATGCATACAAAAGGCAACCAAGTCTCAAACATGTCCGTACATAAACAAACAATATAGCCAAGAAAGAAAGTTCCAAAATAGCTCACGTTTCCCTTTATGTGATCAACCAAATTTATCTTTCCTTGAGTCATGAAAACAACTTTTATGACTATTTAAGATCACTATTAATAAATTATTATCAGCAACTTAAGCACGTGAGATTTATCAAAACCAATAAATAGGACACGTATCATGTTACAATCCATATAACAAAACAAAACCGTATATGCGCC